TTTTTCTGGCAACAGGCTCCCATCCTCTGGTCTGTCCAAAAGTCACTGCATTGACATAACTCCTTTTTCACTTCGGAAATTCCAAGGGTTTTAGCTGTGTGCCAGAAACTGAATGAAGACCAAATGTATATTTCCTATTTAAATCATACTACCACACCCCCGTGTCAGACGCCCTCCTCCCTGCATAGACTCTGGTACCTCAGCGGGGTCTCCCTTCTCACCCTTGCCCACCCACCTCTGACGTTCTGCGCAGGGCCACCACCAAGCAGGGATGCCTTCCTCACCCACCCAGGCTCTGACTATCCACACCAGACTGTCCCTCTTCACTCTCGACATGTGGATGCCCTCCAGTCTTTGCTCTACAGCAAGACCATTGCTTTGCATGTACTCCGTCCTCCTCTAGCTTGGGCTGTAACAAACTATGGGGGGAAGTATGCTCCCCTTGTCACACTTGGGTGCAGACATTCGGTGCTGAGGTGCACATACAAACTCTTAACCCATTAAAGATGCATGGGTGATTTTCCATGTTCCCTCCACACTCTGGATACCTTTGTCACCCCGCTTGGGCTCTAACTGCCTGGACTAAGTTTTCCTCTTTCTAGGATACCCTTCTTCCCTGGTTCAGTCTCCAACACACCTCATTGGGGCACTATGACTGCCCTCTGGTCATTTCCATTTATTGTGCTATGCTCCACGTAATGACTTTAGGACTGGAAGGTAGAAAAAGAGAAAAAAAGAAGAAGAAGGGAAGGGACATGCCATCTCTTTGATTTGCTTATTATTCCTTCCACAGGAAATGAGTGTGTGAAAAAGTTTGTAAGAGGCCAGTTTGTTCCTTGTAACTAAAGATTGGGACTGAGAAACTTTGAAGCTGTTAGAGAAAGTAACATTTGACATTAAATGCCCTTGAACTTTCATTTCTCTTCTGGGTATTTCATGTTTTGATATGATAAATTACTATCAAATTATACATTTAGAAATAAAAAGGCTGAAATGGATATTTGCTCTCCTCATCCAATTTTCTTCTTTTATTGATGAAGGAATTGCATTCTGGTTAGGTCACATAACTTTCCCTAGTTTCCCTGGTAACCTAGAAAAAGGATATTTTTCAACATTCTGGCCAGTGTTCTCTTCATTACTATCACTTAAAATTATTTGACCTTGAAGAAAAATTTCTGAGAAAAAGGATAGCTTATACATAGACACCTTATATTTTATATTGGAAGTCTTTTCCTTCTGTAATGGGATTGCTAACAGAATGCCATATTTTAGGCCCTAACATATCTGAATAGTACTTTGGTGATCATATTTTATTAGAGTGGAGTATCTGGAAATTAACCATACCAATTTGGTAGTTAGTAACAACAGTAATTTAATAGTGTGGATTAAAAAAAAAGGATTTTAGGGAAGATCATAAATTCCTAACTGGACAGGTCATGGTGGGCAGTCACGACCTTGCTCCAACCCGCGGAGCCACCTGGCTGGGGCCAGGCCTGTAGCTACTTTAGTAAAATGCTAATTTGCCTTAGTAAAACCCTGCCCATTGTTTCTGGGTATCTAGGTTAACACACCTTTGAGATGCCTCTTTTCTTAGGCTTCTCCTTTTAAAACAGGAGCACCTTCAAGAGTGTACAACATCCTAATTCTTCGGTAACCCATCCCCACCTTGCTTTCTCATATCTCCATGTAACCTTTCTTGACATTTCCTCCTTGATTTCAAATGCATAAAAGAAGTTGCAAAACTGTTACTTTCCAGAGCAATTGGGATCTTGTTTCCTGGGAATTGCCATGAGTTTTGGCTTAAATAAACTGTTATAAAATTATTTATAGATTTGAACTTTTCTTTCGTTGACATTAGTAGCTAAAATTTTGAATACTTCTTCTTAGTTGAGTGTTTACATCATGTTAACTATTTGGTAAGGTTCCCAAGCAGGTTGATTATTACTTATTTTTCTGTTTATTGTCTTGTGTGGTTGATGGCTTAGCAAATGTGCATACATAGACATGAATGGTTGATAAATAAAAATTTGTTTTCAAAAATCTGTGATATAAAATTTGTATTATTTTAAACCCATTTATGTTTGTGAAAAAATCCACACATTATCAATGCTGCTGTTCAAGCTGGGAATGAACAACTTGTTGGGTGTAGATGAATCATCTAGAGCAGCAATTTTCAACAGATGTGCCCACAGCACACTGGTGTGCCACAAGAATTTTTAAAACAGGCATTATCTGACTATTTAGTCATGGACACACTGACCTCTTTCCCTTAGATTGTCAAATAAAAAAATGGCAATAGCAGACAACAGTACGGTGATCGCCAGAGGGAAGGGGGGAGGTAGGAATACAGATGAATGTGAAGGGTGGATAAATGGCGATGGACAGAGACTTGACATGGGGTGCTAAACACACAATACAATACACAGATGATGCGCTATAGAATAGTATATTTGAACCTGTATAACTTTGTTAACCAATGTCACCTCAATGAATTCAATTTTTTACAAAAAGCCCTGGCCTGGTGGCTTGGTTTGTTGGAGCATCATCTAGTGCACCAAAATGTTGCTGGTTGGCTCCCTGGTCAGGACACACGTAGGTTTTGGGTTTAATCCAACTGACTGACATTTCTTTCTCTTATTCTGTCTTCTTTCTTCTCTCTCTAATATCAATAAAAACATACCCTTGGGTGAGGATTAAAAAAAAAAGAAAAACATCCTCCTCCCCACCAAAATGACAACAGCCAACACAACAATAGCCATTGAGTGTGAGTGAATCAAAATTATACCCATTTTTTTTGCCAATTGGAAAAAAATATATTTTTTGATGTGCCACAGAATTTTAGTAATTAGTTCATGTGTGCCATGAGATGAAAAAGGTTGAAAATCACTGATCTAGAGCTTTCATTAATTTCCAAGAATCACCTTGAATCACTGAAAGTAAAACAAAAATAGGCAACACACTATATGTAAGAATCAATGATTTTTTTGAAAATCAATAAGCAGTTTACTATGTAGTTATATAAGCTCAATTTTTGTAAACCAACTATACTCACATAAATAAATATCAAACCCTCCTCATTGAGAAATATAAAGATTATGTCATAATCTCATTTTCATTTTTTTGTGTTTCATAAATCCTCTTTTGCATACTTCTGGGTTCCACACAACAGACACTAAAAGGTGCATTTGCTCATGTCAAAGCCCTTGCTACCCTTGTTATTGCTTTGAGAAAGTTATTTGTCTTTGCTCATGGTGATACCAAACATTTTCATAGGGCTCTGCCTCCAGCACCATGTTGCAGAAGACATTTTGCTTTCATTAGTTTGCTCAGCAAACATCTGATTTTCTGGCTTGAGTCTCAAAAACAAAATTTATTTTGAAAACAGAATTTCAAAAATTTCAAAAATTTGAAATTCTGAATTAAAGAAAGCTAAGGGGATTGTGTTGTTGTAGGACTTGTCAGAGTACTTAATATGCTACTTGTGCTTTGTGCATCACTAAGTAAGCAATATGCTCTACTTTCCAAATATTTGTTTTACAATTAAGTTGAAAAATAACCTTTTTTATTATTTTTGTTTTTCAATTACAGTTTACACTTAGTATTATTTTGTATTAGATTCAAGTGCACAGCATAGAGGTTACACAATCATATACTTTACAAAGTGTTCCCCTTAATATTTCAAGTACTTATCAGGTACCATACATAGTTATTGTGATATTTTCAATAAAAATCTTGAAGAGTCCTATTAGCTGTGTAATTTAAGATCTTAAAGGGGACATGCACTTCTAGCTCTTGAGTGAAATAATTGCCCTTTTCGCACTAATGTAATTCTATAAATTAACACATATTCAGGTTCATAACTGGAAGGGACACATCATCAAGATCATTTTGCTCTTCTCCCTCCAAGGCAGGAATCCTTTGACCACATATTCCTGGGTTTGAATCACTTTCAAAAATGGGAACTCGCTGCCCTCCAAAGTAGTTGTACTGATATTTTGTGGAAACCTTCCTCTTGGTAAGTTTGCCCCGTTACTGCTGCCTTCTGCCTTCTGTAGTTAGAATGCAGTTAAACCCTCTCCATGTGACAGATGTTCAGTTATGTCCGCCTGGATCCTCATCCTTCTTGAATTTTCTCTCCAGTGTCTTTCTTCCACGGTTTATTTAAGGTCTTGTGGGAGAGCAGATTCCTTCTCCTTCCCCATCCCCTTGCCCTTGTCTTGATTTAATGTTTGTTTGTTTGTTTGTTTTTTGAAATGTGTTGTTTTAGGAGGCTGTGAACTTAACCCATGAAAGGCAAGAACACTTTGTATTCTTATTTTCAGGCATGTAACAGTGAATCATGGTTTCACTTTATTTCTGGACAATTATTTCCACCAGACACAACCTTTGATCCCAAATACCACATTCACTTGACACAAACTTGTTGACTTCATACCTAAATCAGCTTTTCTTGAATCCTCATCTGAACAAACATTCATTTTAATCTGCGGATATCCCGTGCGGCGTCAGGAAGGGCCGGTTTGGGTAGTGCTGGCTCAGTGAGTCTACCACCACGCTACAGATTTCGTTTCCTTTTTTTCCTTTGAGTTTAAGAAGACCAAAAAAAAAAAAAAAAAAAAAAAAAAAATCCTGCTAATACCTAATACCTTAGACAATGCAAGGGGTTCCAGACTCTATGCCAGGAAGCTGGTGTCATCAAGGTGACAAAGAGACCACGGAGAGCAGAAAGAAGGTTAGGAGACACCTACATGCAGGTGTCATTAAGGTAAACCCCTGGGATTGTGGGGTGGGGGGAGGGGAGGGAGGAATGGAGAGCCGCCAGAGCCGAGGCTGGGAATGCGCAAGAGAGAAGAGGAAAGGCCAGCGGCCCGGCGCCGCGGCGTGGACGCCCGCGGGAGTTCAGGCTGGGTGGGAGTGTGTCACCACGTGCTGCAGAGGCGGGGACAGGGTCATCCTCCCCTTATCTGAAAGGGTGCAGGGCGGGACAGAAACACCACAGCAGACAGGCGAGGTGAGAGGTTAGCTGGCTAACCTAGTCCTTCCTACTAGCTCGCTCAAAGCACATAGCAAAGATCCCATTTAGACGCTCAAACCCCAGGACGCCGAAACGGACTGCACGTCTCATCCCTCTTAAGTTTGCTCTGAGGAAATTCGGCAGAAAGGCAGGAAGAGGAGATGGGGTTCCATAGCGAGTGCAGTCTTAGTTCTTCTTAAGAACTGGCGGTGGTTTAGGGCTTTATATCCGGGAGGAGCCTGTGTCACCACACTGTAAGCAAACCCCGGGACGTCTGCAAACCCGGCTACGGGGCAGTTGGCCCCATGCCCGGTCGGGCGTTCGCGGGCTCCGGCCACGCAGTGCTCCCGGGTCCGGCCGGGGGGTGACCCAGTGGCCTTTATCTTTCCCCCTTTGTCCTCTTTATCTCAGGCTCTCCAGGAGGACCGGGAGCCCGCTCTGCCTATCGCTCTCCACCCCGCTGCACCGCCACTTCAATGCTCCGCAGGTCTCCGGCTGCTGCTCTTTCGAAGGCGCCCGAGGACCAGGGGCGCCCAGTGCCACCGCTCACTCGGCCGGGCGCCGACGCCTGAACCGCGCGCCCTTGGGCACCCACGCCGGTGCGCCCGGCGCGTCCCCGTGCGCTTTAGCCCTCTTTGGGCCCGCAAGGGACAGCCCTAGCCAGGATGGCCCCCGGCCAGGCGGTGGCCGGGATCTTGCTGCTGGCCGCGGCGGGCCTCGGCGGGGCTGTGGCGGGGCCCTGGCTTGCCTTTAGCGAAGATGTGCTGAGCGTGTTCGGCGCGAATAGGAGCCTGTCGGCCGCGCAGCTCGGGCGCCTGCTCCAGCAGCTGGGAGGCTCCAGGGCGGAGGGCGCCCAGCAACTTGCGCAGCTGCACTTTAACCAGGTACGGCGCGGGCCTGAGGCTCTTTCGAGCAGTCGCTGTCTTTAGACATCCGTTTGTACCTGAACGCTATTTACGTGGGAAGAGTGCAGGGGAAAGGATTTCTTTACGTTTTTCAAGTATGAGACGGTGACTGGTGGTACTTGATTTTCACCAGACCAGGCTCCTTAGCCGGCGTTAAAGGGCTGGTGGGGGTTGAGGAAGCCAGAAATTTCAGCTTTATGCCTGATGAGGTGAGCGATCAGACGCTTGTGAATATAAGATTTTATAGAGAAGTTTTTGAAGTAGTTAAGCCTGGAAGCACCTTAAGAGATGCTTCTTTTTTTAAAGGTTGGAATGGCTTACTTAAATCTTCCCAACAAAAATAACGACCAGCTCATATGCCGTCCTTGTTAACAGTTGGCTTGGTGGATTAACAGCTGCCAAGGAGATATAATGTGGTTCTGCCTTTCCTGTGTACGTTACAAGAGGCATTTAGACCCGAAGAGACTTACTCTACACAGAGCTGTTAAGATTATACCTGTTAGTAAATTTGAAAAACGGATTTTATATATTGTTTTTTACATAATTTATATTTTATTTCTTAAAATTCTGGAGTAGGCAAAGTGTGCTTTCTGCATCCTCCCCAAACTCCAACCCCACTTTTTAAAAGTGTTAACTCAGTGTCTTGATGTTTTCACCTTCTGTTCTTGTTCCAGAGAGAACTGATGGTGAAAAGCAGTATGCAATATTTTCCATATTGTTCATCACTTCTGGCCCATGTTAGTTTGTGTTACAAAAAGTTTTTGTGGTCCCAGGTGTTTGGGAAATGCTGCACTCTTGGAAATTTAGCATCTCCTAATGTATTGACTTTAGATTGCCGTTAGGGAAACTCCAGTCAGATGGACTCCTTGCTAAGAACATTATAGATAGGTGGACATTCTTTTTCTTAGAAATATCTCACGTCAATTAAAACATACTACTCAAGAAGAACTTTTGATGCCGTGGGGTATCAAAGGATGACCTCCCTTTAACTAGAAGGGAGGGTTTTGTGTTTCACTTATGCAGGTACTTTAATAAACCGTAGTACTTAGCTCTGGCATGGTTTAATTAAACATTTGATTTAATGTCTAAGAAATATATTGGCAAAACTGAAATTCCCACATATTATATTGATATTTTGGAAAAGAAAACAAAACAACTGCCTAAGTATTTTCTGTCTAGTTGCAGTCTCTTCAAGTAGGGGAAACAGCTGAGCTGACTAAGGTATTTCTAGGTAGGAGTAGGAGTGGTCATGTGCTTGGAAAGAAGCATGGGACTTGACAAGCAGCTGCAAATCTGTAGCCCACACATTGTTTTGACTTAAGTTATCTCCTTATCTCGCAGTGTCTGGAGGTGTTGATGAATTTCAAAGAGACAAAAGATCCCTGATCCCCCCCGTTGGCAAAGAGGCTGGAAAATATGTGTAAATTAATTTGAAAAATTGTTTAAGTTTATTAGCAATATGTTTCCTCTTTTGTAAGTAGGATTCATAAATTGATAAATTATATATATGTTAACATCTTGTTTCTCATTCTCATGTTTGCATATTCAACTACATTCATTGTGGCCTCTGTGGGCATCAAAAAGAGACAGGAAGAAGCCCATAATTACTTTGGAAACAAAGGGAAGCCAAGGACAATTTATCACTTAAACAGGCCTAACAAACAACAATTTGATGTTCTAAAAAGTCCTGATGAAAACAACCATCATCAAACAAAATGACAACAAATGAAATAGATTCCAGAAGAATGTATTAATTTGCTGGCAGGAAACCGCCCAATTTGGAGCAAAATTTAGGGCCATTAATACCTGCAACTTAAAGAATGCAACTTGAGTTTCCTCACTTGTAACAAAATAGAATAAACAATATACGCGCCAATTGTGAAAAGCTTGATTTTCTGACTTTGAAAAAGGCCGAGAAAATACAACTTATTTCTATGAACTGGGGATTTATTGAATCTTCTCCGAGATCTATTAACAAATGACAGTGTTCCTTTGGATGAGGGCTGTGATATTTCTTAGATCAGCTTTTCTCAGATCATAGGCTGCTATACTCTGGAGGTGTTTTAGAGAATTTGGAAGATATTCTGATATTTTTAAAGTATTCCTAAGACCCATTAAATTAATTTGTTGCTTTGGGAGACCAAAGTGACCTAGGTTCAAACTGCTAATAGAACAATTGAGTTTATTGTTTTGCTTCATGGTTATGAGGGTACAAAGAGCAGGTAGAAGCAGTGACTTAAACAGTGAGAGGGGAGCTCTTTTAGTTCAGTTGTTCTCAGAGGTGAGGGGGTGTAAATCTGATCTCTTTCTGGGAGTTCCTAGAATTCACAGGGAAGCCCCAACTGAATGCATATGTTGGGTGATCAATTGAGGGGATTTAAAAAATGGCCTCAGTGTTTGTTTATTCAGAAGTTCCTTTCTCTTCAAATGTTCTTTTCTCTTCTTCAAAACACCTCATTTGAAGTTATTACTGTAGATGCCGATTAAATACCTTGATAGAAAAGGAGATCTTCATTCTCTAAATTATCATAAATCAGCCTGCCAGGAGTGTTGCGGGGGTTTTGCAGAAGTAGAACTAGCTGCGGCAGGTTGGCCTGTGAGGCAGCCTTTTTTCCCACCATCACTCACCTTCACACTTTGCTTCTCTCTCTTAAAGCTCTTTTTTCTTTCAATACGTATCTTGCAGCATATTTCTGCATCTTTTGTTCCTTTTCACTTGCTTGCCTGAACCTTGTTTGTACACCTCTTTTACTTCGTATTAAACCTTACTAAAGCAATACTTGGAACATGCCTACCTTCTCTCAAAGCAGCCTTGCTGGTGAAGTCTAGATCTTGAGCCTGGCATTCAAGATCCTGCACTTTAAGGTTGACCTGAGCGAGTACCCACCCAGACCTAGCACTCACGAGACAGAACTATATACTCTTCTTCGAATTCACCTTATATTTTGTGCAGCCGCTTCTTGGCTTATTTTCTTCCTTACCCTATTCATGTTTCCAACTGGAATGTCCTTCTTTCCCTTGAATTACCCTATCAAAATCCTACACTTTTAATTGCCCACCTATCTTTTGCCACTACTTCTGCATAAAACTTCTCCGGGGCATCACAGCCAGCACTGATATCCTTTTTTCTCTGTCTTTTTGAATAACTGAAATGCTTTTTTATTATGCTAATGACACCTAACCATTGATGTGTTTAACAGATATGTTGAATGACTACTGTACACTAATCTGTGTGGTCATTTAAAAGTATAAATCTGATCATATTACTCATCTTAGTAAAACAATTAAATTCCTTCAGGATAAATTTCAAACACTTTAGTGTGGCTTAGCCCTTTCATGATGTGGTCCCTTTATATTTCTCAGACCTTCTCCTTTGCCACTGCTCCAGGCTAATGGACTGCCTGTAGTTTCTGGTTTTCCATGTACACCTGCTTATGCTTCAGGTATTGGTTTAGACATTACTTTTTCTGAGAAGCCTTTCTTGGTTTGCTCAAGGGTTTAGTAAGAGTCCCTTCTATGTGATCCTATATGAATTAATGCCTTTACAGTTGTAACATATTATATGTTGCAATTATATTATAATATGTAAATAACTTAGTAGATATTACAATTTTTTGTTTATATGACTGCAACCTCCCCACTTCCTTACCGCTCCTCTATGATTTTGAACAAATTGAAGAGAATGATCTAACTCTCCTCTCTAGGGGCTAGTGTATTGCCTGGTACATAACATGTATTCATTATGTATATTTTGAATGAATGAGTGAAGATTGCTTAATATAAGTAAGATAACTTGGGCCCTCACATGACTTTACAGTTTATTGGAGGGGTATAACATAGGTATATGGAATTATAATGCACCACAGAACGCTATGTCTAATTAAAGAATTCCAAACAAAAGGGGAATGGGATCAGACTTGGGTTTTCAGAAAATTTATCTCCATGAGAGTATGAAAAGTGTTGGAGTGGGTCAGGTCGGAAACTAAGGAGGAAACTGCAGTGGCTTGCAGGAGTGGGATGTAATGATTGCTTGAACCTGGAGACAGGAGGTAGCATAAAGGCCCTGCCTTCTCCAGGAAGAGCAGGCGCGGCTGATGGGAAGGCAAAAGAGCCCCAAGATAAATATTTTCTGCTTCAGTGTTTTGCCTGCTGTGGTCATTTAACTGTCGTTAGGTCTTCTTCATTAGCTTCTGGCCCGACGATGCCCAAGGGAGAGGTAGTATGGTAACTCTTGGCTTGTTTCAATGGATGGCCAGGCTAATGATATGTAGCAAACAGAAGGTGTGCCTGTGTGGGGGTGTGTGTCGGGGTCATTACACATACACTGTGTGCATAGCTTATTGTTATTTACTGTACTTTTCCTTGGGGTGGGGTAATGGTGGATTATATGAGGGAGGTTAGGGGAAGCACTGACCGTGAACAGAGCAGAGAAAGAGCATCTGGTCTTTTTTAGTCTTTATGTTCTGAGAAATGGGGGTATGTCTTTAAGGAATTGAGAGACTGTTTGCAGACTGCTTGTTCAGATGAGAAACTGGCAGAGTGGGACAGACAGGTGGGACATAAGGGTGAGGTTGCACTTAGGTCTCTGGTCATTTTTTATTCAAGATAATGGACTTGTTCCGATCTATTACATCATTCTCATTTAAGCTGACTGTGTACAGTGTAATCATTGTTTCCAAGATGTTTTGGGAAAATGAGGGATACTCGTAAAATCATTTGACTATGATGTTGTCCGATGGGGGAGAAAAGGTGTAGTGGCCACCATAAGGAGAAGGTATCTTCAGACCGAAAAACAAAGCAGGCCACTCACTCCATGGAATATAACAGAACTTTTTGTAGGGCAATTTACTTAGGGGAAGATGGGTTTGGGGCAGAAAAGACAACTCAGCAGTCTGTGCAAATTATTCTTCACTAACAGACCCCTGCTACAGTACTTTAAAAAAAATAACGTAACTCAGGTAGTAATAATTGACAAGACA